ACACACACATACACACTCACACACACACATATATATATATATATATTTTCATAGCACACATATTCCTTCCTCACACACACATATATATATATATATATATATATATCTCTATACGCGTATATATATATATATATATACATTTACATATATACATACATACATACATACACACACACACACACACATATATATATATATATATATATATACATTTACATACATACATATATACATACATATATATATATATATATATTTATATATATATATATATATATATATATATATATATATATATATATATATATGTATATTTATATTTATATATATATATACATATAAATATACTTGTTTATATATATTTATATATATACAAACACACACACACATATATACACATACACACACATATATATATATATGCGTGTGTATAAGTATGTATATTGATTTTTATGGTTGTTAATATATATATATATATGTCGTTTATTGTTTATTCTGCGGATCCATTCAATCTATATATTCAAATTTCCGTGCGCTTACCTGATATATATATATGTTTAAATGTTCACTTCTGAATATCATTTAGAAGACTGGTAAATGTGCATGTCTATATATATTTTTTGCTAAAATCGTTGCCTCTGCATTGTTTAATGTGCCTTCCAACTATCTTTGCTTCTCTATGCACACATCCTGGTAATTGTATACAGGAATTACGTCCGCACTGTTTTGCACTACTGTCGTTCCAAAGCACACATTTTAATTGCGTGAATGTACCCGCCCGTCTCACTAAAACATTTAACGTTAACTACATCTATACTACCGTTGTATACATACAGATTGAAGAAAATTCGCGGCGGAGTAACGATGTACTGAATGTCTGTCATTACATCAGTCGAGTGCACGGTGGTGACACCGATCCGACCCCGCTCGATGCTTATTCTAAGCCATTTATGGTGCTAAAGAACGAAATGATCAAAGCGGAGAGGAGGGTATTGAACGAACTGGGCTTCAGCGTGCATATCCAGGTGAGGGATACGGTGCTACTTAATGTGGGGATAACTAGGTGTCGATGGCTTTCGTACTTGCCTCTGGGATGTGTGTGTGTGTGCGTGCGTATGTACATTGCGTATGCTATTTTTGTTTGTGCAGTAATTGGGGTTTCACATCTAGAACGATAGTACGAGTCACCGATATGGGTGATAAGTTCTTTCCGGCAGTGAGATTGCCTCAATCAGCTGGGTGCAATTTGTTAAGGTCAACGGGCGACTATGGATATCTACTTGTATTAGAATATGGATAGGCAATGGTTTTTTACAATGCGCCGGGTTGTTTGTTGCCGATGGTGGGGGCGTGACTATTTAATTGGAAACTCATGTACTCCACATCTATAGTACTGCATGTGTATCACCACAACCAGCTTCTCTCCCTAACATTCGTTTTCGTAGCGGCAGTGTGTCGCTAGCACAGTACATCGCTCTACAACTCCACACAATGATACCAAAGTATTTACAAGTTTCGACGCTCAAACCTAGCGCCGAGTTGGCGCAAATACCACAGGTTTATCTGTGCAACAAGATATGCTGTTTGTGAATCCGCCATTTGTCTGGAAAGTCCTACTTTGAACATTAGTGTGAAGTGATGTTCGCAGTAGTCCTAATCATAATAACCAATACTGATTGTACATCCGCTATTTGTCCGACAAGTCCTGCTTTGATCACCAGTGTGAAGTGATGTTCGCAGTAGTCCTAATCGCAATGCAGTTCGTACATCCGCTATTTGTCCTGCAAGTCCTACGCTGATCACCAGTGTCCGTTCACTCATCTCTCGCTTCGTTCTCCTCTTTCTATATTCCCTTTCCTCAGCACCCCCACAAGCTGATAGCCAACTACCTGCAAGTACTGACACTTTACGCCAACACCGAGTTGGCGCAAATAGCGTGGAGCTACATGAATGATTCCTTCCGGACCAATGTCTTCTGCCGTTTCCCACCGCATATTATCGCGGCGGCCACTATCTATCTGGCTACCAATATGAAGAATATTGTCTTACCCAGCAATCCGCCCTGGTACGAATTGTTTGACGGGAATAAGAAGGATATCGAGGAGGTGTCCAAGGCGATACTGTTCGTGGTGCACCGGGAGAAGAAGCCCTGGGGCGAGCTCAAGGCCAATGTGCACACACTGCTGAAAGAGCGTAACGCAAAAATAGAGCAGCTGCGCATAGCCAGGAGGAAGGAGAGGGGCGAGGCAGCTATAGTTAGCGACGAGGATGCGGAGAAAGTGAAAGGGTACATGGCGTGGTGTGGTGTGATGTGTTACAGTGTGTAGTAGTTCGTGGGGGTGCAAGTTTAGATCAATGCTATGTTGGTATTTTATTGTTACATATAGATTATAAACATGTAAGCTGAATCGGGCGTGAGGAATGGGTGGGGAGATAACCGTGCCCCCGTGCCCAGTGTGTCGTGCGGTGTGGAGTATTGTGCGTTGATATGTGCATTTATGTATGTAATTGTAATTAAATATACTTGGACAATTAGTGCAATTCTGTATAGTCATTATTAGGTGGGAGAAGAGCAGTAATATAACCATGGCTAGGGATGATGATGCGGATAAAGCGGAAATGTACTTGGTGGTGTGCAGAGTGATATGTGCTTGTGTATGTGCTTGTGTGTAGGTTTATGTATGTATACTCGACCAATTGGTACACACAGATAAGATTGAGAATCCGAAGTGCGGATCGGAGTGGGGTGGTGGTGTAGGTAGTCTTCTGGACGCAAATGGATACCAGAGAGTATAGCAATAGATATACATACACAAGGATGTATGACCATGTAAGTATGTGTATACTTCCACTGAGATTTGGATCTCAAGTCGATGTCCTAGGATTCTTGCTTGTATGCACTATTATTTCTGATGGTGTGAGCCTCGATCGGCATACTTTGTCCACAATTGTATATTAGCTTCACGCCTTCGCTGTCCTATGTATTATCGAACCTGCAGTTACTGAGGAATGATTTGCAAATAGTCACACTAAAAAAGAATGTGGACGATCACATGTCTGAACATTGCCGCAAGTACATATAGCTCCAAAGCCAGCTTTCACTCATAGTACAACCTACCGGTTTATCACATTGCCGTCCTATACTACGATGGCTAACTGTTGACAAGCCAGACCAGTCTTGCACTCATTGATCTCCTAAATCTCACTTAGCCACACTTTCAAACATGTAGTAAATATACTCTTCTGAACCGTGTTGTATGACCATTCCCAATGCAACGACATGTACTAAATTCTTGACTTGCTTTATCTTTACTGTATGTATATGCGCAACAGTCAATCTGTGGCCTCCCCTGCGAAGTCGGTGGCGCAGCAATTGACAGAAGACAATGGATCTGGCGACAAAAGCACAGACCAAAAAGATCGGGTACGTCCCCCGAGAATTAGGAATACGCCGGAATCCGATGCGTCATACAAAGCCAAAACTAGTGGCGTGAATGGTGTCAACGGCACCAAGAAGGAGCGGCCCCCTTTATCAGTGAGTGCTGAAAGAGTGAACAAAAGTGGCGAGAAAGATAAGGAGAAGCGCAGTCGTAGTCGAGAGGATGACAGGAACAGAGATAGAGGGCGTAAGAGGAGTAGGAGTGTGAGTCTAATGCGGAAGGAGCGAGACACTAAAAGAACAGGTGGGAAAACAACAGGCGCGAAACGGATTACTAAGGAAGGAAGCACTGCGCGCAGTAGCAGCCGAAGTTCGGAGCGAACGAGCGCTCGGCGGGATAGAAGCCGCAGTAAAGATAGGGATGAGTATAGAGGCGGTAGGCGAGAGTCCTCTTACCACGGAAGTGGGCGAGGGGGTAATAAGGATAGGGGTAGGGATCGTGACCGTGACCGTGATCGCAGAGATGATAGAGATAAAGAGAGAAGGGGAGAGATGGGACGAAGGGATTCGCGAAGACGATAAGAAAGTGGGCTTATTTAACAGCATTCACTTTTTAGCATATTCTCCTTGATATAGGGTACTTGTACTTCTGGGGAGTGCGTGGGCAGCATGCATGTAATCATATCACTGTCCCACGACATCGATACATATATATATATATGTATATTAGTATACATAAATAATATATATATGTATCTATATATCTATATATATGTGTATCTATATATGTATCTATAAATATATCTGTATATATATATCTATATCTATATCTATATCTATATCTATATATATATATATATATATATATATATTGACTTTACGCTGTTAAGGGTGTATGAATCTCAGATGATGTGGAGGAAGAAAGTGGGCACGTTCTCTTATGTATGAGTGCACATAAAGTGTATGTGGACTTTGATAGGCGAGCAAGGTTGACGATGGTTGGCACGTACAGTGTAGTTACTTATACTAAAGAAGTGTGATGGAAAACACAATAAAGTACGAATCGGACATTAAATTTTACAAGCTGAGTGTGGTATCTAATTGATGTTGTTAATGTAATGGGACCTATATTATTTAATTTCCGCTTTTGGCGATAAGCTTATAGTGTAGTTAGCTTGATTGAGAAATGTGATGCCAACCCCACTTGTCTGTAAGTTGATATTCCCGTCGCAAGTCCACTAATTCTGAAGATTGTTCCAAGTAGAATCTTTCGACTGATATGTCCGTGCGTGGTTTCTTGTTTGTAGTATTCAGGAAAATTCTGTTTATTCCATTTATTTGGTTCTGAAAAGTCGCGGACGTGTCACGCTCCCAATTCCAATAAGCTTGATATTTAGGTAGGAATGTGTATTTGAACAAAATAAAGTCCTTTGCGCATCGGTTTGTAATTTTTGTCACACTACTTAAGTCATAGTAGTGTAACACCGTAGCTAACCTCTTGAGAATAAACACTAGGTTAGATAGTACTAGCATTTGCGATATTTAGTATTTTTCCATTTTTAAGACTGTGTGTAATCTGACTCTGCCGGGTACGAACACGCATCGACGTGGGGTCGCTCGTCATAATACCCACCCTATTATTAAGATTCCGTTATGAGAACATGTGCGCTGTAAAATTACAGCGAACTTGTCAATAAAAAACAAATGATTCTGCTGCCAACAACAGTGACAGCTTGTATAAAACCTACCGCACCACTGATTTATGTGTTAACGAGCAAATCGGTAATCGAAATATCCATTTGTGTTTATTTCATCTATATACTGTACCTAGACTGCGAACTTGTGAAGCAGTAGTTTTCTCAGAACGAACAGGCCAACAATAAAACTTCTGCTCTATAACCGCTTCATTAATTGTACAATAACATGATTCTCATTTATGGGTTTCTTAAGTCTGTAATATGGTATTCGCACTATTACACCCGACACAGGCTGCTTCAGCTAAAACAATATATACAATAGGATCATCTTCAACTTTCGATTTACACTCAGAATTGTTACAAATACATACCGAATTCACGACGAATACAAATCGACCTACACAAAGTTTGACGCGGAAAGGTCTAGAACGATATGTTTACATGTGTAGCTGTGTATTAGCATTGAACACGGATCAACAATCTGAAATAGGATCAACAATCTTAGATTTGCGAGCAAATGCAGAATGTGTTCAGGAGCAATCGTGGACCAATGATGAACCAATGCCATGGGAATAGCTCAAGTTGTTGATAAATTTACAATAACAATGTTATCAGTTGTGTAGAGTCAAATAATCATATTGTGCCATACCTCAATTGACAATTAGAACAATTGTGCCTTTTGTGGATGATGGATCCGACAATGTCAACTTCACAACGTGACAAAATATCAGAAACAAGGTTAGATAGAGACGCTGAGATAGACAGCTATAAAAGGTATTACATATTAATTGTTCTCATCAGAAAACACTGCACACCACAACAACAGTAAATATGAAACTCACAGCTACCATTGCCGCCGCAGCGATAATTGCCACTGCACAGGCCACCCACAAACTCACGATGAACGTTGATAATAGTGCCGCAAAAGAAACTACTACGTTCAAGGATCAGGGAGCCAGTGTCGAGTGGGCTGTCAAAATGCAAATATTTAACGCCGACAGCGACTTGTACAAAGCTTGCAGAGACGGTGACTACATCAATATGAACTAGCACATTCACGTAGGCAAGCCCTTTGGAGGACAGGGGGTAGGCGCGGAGTGTGGTGCCAAGGCCGGCAGCCCCCCTGTGGGAGGACATTATGATCCTACCTTTGCCTGTGGACCGGCCACTGATGAAGTAAAGGCCTGTGCTGCCATTGATCGCAGCGTGGGCAGCGATGACTTTGTCTACACATGTAGCCCTGATGAGTACGAGAAAACCCGTATGCTTATGAAGTTGGGGACTATTCTGGTAAGTATGGTGCACTCAAGTTTAAGATTGATAAGCACAACAAGAACATTGCTAGAGTAGTCGCCAGTGATATTGATGAGTACGGACCGCAGCTGGAGTTGCTTGAGGGCAGAGCCGTTACATTCCATTGTGGATCACCCAGAATTTTCTGCGGAACCCTCTCCACCGCGACCACTGGCCACTCGAGGAACAATCACAAGAACCAAAATAAGCATCGAAACCACAACGGCGGCAAGAACCACAAGAATCGCAACGATTAAGTTGTTGAATACTTCATAAACAAAACTTTAATAATATAGCCAGGTTTGAATAAACAATGATAAGTGCTAGTGTGATCAGCTGACTGCCTCAAGAGTCAGAGTACACTTGAGGCAAACCGCGATATTAAAGTGTTAAAGTTATATCTCATAAACCCGAAAATCGGGACTTCTCCTACATTGCCTATATTACCTTAGCGTAACATATAATTTGTCCTCTTGATAGAATACACCTAATAAGAAATATATTATATCATACCGATCCCGTGTCAAGACTATTTGCAATCTGACTCAGCCGTAAATGACTCGATGTGAACACGTGTCGAGGTGGGGTAGCTCGTTATAGTACTCACACTAATAATTAAATTCAGTTACACACGCATGTACGCTGTACCAAGACTTCGGTCTATCTGAAACACTTGATTGTGCTGCTCGTAACAGTGACAGCTTGTGTAATTTACCTCCCCACTAATTACTGTTTTAACGAGTAATTCGGCAATTGAGATATTCATTTTTGTTTCAATTCCATCTATATATTGGGCCTAGACTCAAGACTGTGAACTTACGAAGCAGTAGTTTTCTCAAAACATAAGTATCGAAACCGCAACGGCAGCAAGAACCACAAGAATCGCAACTACTAGATTGTTTCAGAGTTTGGAAATTTCGCAAATAAAATTCAATCTATGGTAGAATCTAGGGTATGCGTCAAGTCACGCCTGGACATAGCTGGGTAACTGAGTTATTTAGTCACACCTATTCAACAGCCAAAGAGTTTAAACTATTATGCCAAAGAATGCACAGATGAGTAGCACAGATGCTTTGTCACTAACAGGGGGGTGGCACATTACGGTCACGAACTACAATAAAAAATCTCATTAGCTATACATGACTTTTAAATGGAATTATTTCCAAAATAAGTTCCATAAAGACATTGACCATCGAGCAGGGGCGGTATCAAGCATTTATTTATTGTCACAGTAGTACAACAATACATTGGTATTCGATCAGAAACCGTAGGCCAGGAGTACCGATGTCTTCGTTGCATCACGGTAGTGGCATTCATGGATCGACCGTAGAGACGTCTGATGGCCGTCGCACAGCCAAAGGGTACATCTCATTGTGCGGTGGCCAGGCATACTTCGGTAAAACCTGCATGTGCGTGGAGAGAATAAATTAAAGACCTAAAACTGACAGTATATTATGTACCGTACGATATGGGCGATGTAGTTTCGCTATTCGTATGACAATCTAACAATTGACGACTCTGAATGGGGGTTGAGCCAAATTCTGCCCAGGTGACATGACAATATGTATCGAAGCCTATATTGAAGGAAGTGTAAAATCGGTAGTCGTGAATCAGTCCTACAAGTGACTTCCAATGGGCTGTAGTTGCATGCCATGGGCCACACAACATGCTCTGGACAGCGCCCACTAATGTGATGTTCGACCCTACTTCAACGTCCAGGTGGTACATAGTGTGTAATTTGCCATAGACAACATCTGCACGGATGACGTAGTCTGTAACAGCCTCACAAGCGTCCCATAATGATATGCATGCACTCCATCATACGTGCGATACGGCGTGCATACAAGTCTCATATAAGCGAATAAGAAATGTATGTCTGAACGACTTGTGCGTATGCGAAATTTTGCATCACCAGTGGTGAGGCATCAAATTAATTGAAGACACGCCGACAAGTTCACCTTAAAATCGGCCATCCTGCGTGAAGTGTGCTTTTAGAAGCCGCAACCCGACATTATCGAGCGTTCCAATAAGCACAGAAAATTGCCTTGACAGCGGATCGATAGACCTACCAATGATTTAGGTGCCAAAAAGCTCATAAGTTTCCTGTGCGATTCCACTTCTATACTCTTATGGTGGCCCATATCTTCTCCGTCTACATTTATTTTCCCACCAGCCTCTGGCAATGTTGTGTACTCGAACTTTAAAGCTTTGACCTTGTGAAACTGTATTAAAAGCAGAGAGGTATTTTTTTTTAATTTGTCAAGCAGTCGAATAATGATAAAGCAAAAAATGTATCGCTACATACAAATGCTAAACCCGTATGTTGACTAAAATGTGCCACACTAAAATCAACAAGTTTTATTTTACAATACGAATATATACTACTGGATATTTATAGAAGCACATACGAAAACGCACTATTCAGAGCTACTGCGCATACTTTGTAGTCGTCGGGATGGTTGGCCGCGTAGGGCTCTCGTTCTGCCAAGAGCATCGCTTGTAACTCAGGCCTGCCCTTGTTACTGTATATAAGGTCCAAGCCGCCATCGTCATTGGACGCAAAGGGACTGGCCCAGCCGTCCATGCTGATCCATGGTACATTCATCAGTAATATTGTGGTGAAATCCATTACCTCTGTTGTCCAGTCCGCTGTCAGCTCTGAAAGTAACATGCCGGTGTGGGGGGGGTTCGATTAGTATAGGATCGCGATAAAATCATTTTAATGTTTGGATCCCTTAATAACTATGTGGGATCTTCGTACCTTGCTGCTAGCAAGGGCAGAGTGCAAAACTGCGTCAGTAATAGATAAGCCATGTCTGGTGTTTGAGAGATGGTGCCCATACAGATACACGAACTTCTATGGGGAGGAGCGTCGCCAGAGATGAGGGCAGATGAAACAGAACAGTGCTTGACATCGTTTCATGCCCGGATGACGTGGTCGGTTATTGCGTAAGCGTATGGAAAACTAGAGAGTCCATATACTCAAATTGGATACCATGACAGAGCGGAACACGCTTTTACGATGCAGTATACTACCAAATACCACAGGAAGATACTGTGCTGAAACCTCTCCAAAGAGCTGGTATATAGAACGATACGTGCTTGCGGAATTAACCAGACTTTGGCTGAATGTCAACATGGATTTATCTTTTCGCTGGGAACTTTCCTTGCACTCCGATCTCCTCCCACGGGTTGTCTATACTGCAACACGGGTAGATTTTCACTGCTCATCGCCAGGTACGTTTACCCTGTTTCTTCTACTTCTGCTGCGGACTGGCTGGCATCCAGCACTACTACACGACAACTCTCGATCATATTCACTACAGAACTGTGTCTACAAACAAGGACAATATAGACACATGCAACCATTCCAATCTACAACACAAGATACCGCCTACTTGTTCGTGATATGGTGTCTTGACCTACTACAATATCAGGACCATATGCATCGTGAAAAGCCGACAATACCTTTGCCCGCAAAGTGCCGTTTGGGTCCGTAACCCTGTGCCTCGTCCGTCGTATTACCCGCGACATCATTACTTGTCTTTTCAATTGGTAGCCTGTACAAACCCATAATATTAAAGATGAACAACCGAGCAGTGTCAATCGAGCAGTGCTAAAATTCAAAGTAAGTGCGACTGCAGGTTTTAGAGTGCAATCAATAATAGAAACCTGCAATATCCAGTTCGCAATTTGAAAACCAATATAACGTATTTAAGCTGGTACAGAGTAGAGTGCAATCGGTTCATAGCCTTCGCTACCCAATTCAAAAAATTCGAATCATCGTCCTCACTCGATTACAATCCGTTACGACTTTGTACCATCCAATCCAGTGAACTACTGGAGGGCTACCACGACTTCGTACAGTAATCCCATTGCGAATATCGACACAGACAAACAAGTTCGTGATACGAGAATTATTTTAAAGATCAGCTCGTTTCCGACGATTATAGACTGGAAAGCACTAAGGATGCACAGACACGCACACACACTATATATATATATACATATATATATATATATAAACACACTCACACACACACACACACACAGATATATATATATAATAATATGTATAGTAATAATACATATATACATACATACTACATACAATATATATATATATATATATATATATATATATAACAGCGCGAACGACCACCAGGACATATATATATATATATATTTATATATATAACAGCGCGAACGACCCACCAGGACATGGTGCAATTCTCCCTCCTCAGCGAAAGTAATCTGACTATACACCAGAGCGTCAGGCGAATTTCTCCCATCCACCTGACACATTCGGATTCTAAATCAATATCGCTCAACAAACCTAAGAAGACTTCTAAATGGCCATAGTTCACACCATCTGCCGTTGTGACAGAGAATATGTCCATGGGAATTTTGTTACCTGTCGATATCGGAGAGAAGTTGCAACGGATAGAGCTCAGTGAGTGTGAGAATTCCAAAATATCACCAACCTATAGATGGCAGTGCATCAAGCTTCCTGTTCATAAGAATTAGGCCAATTGTCGATGTATTGTAGTCGGCTCTAAAATAGTGTGAACACCATAATAAGACCCTTCATGCATTAATTCGCTCTACTAGACAGGATATATACACATGCCGCACTGACCGTATAAATGACACACAGCAGCAAATACGGCTCCTCGAATGGCCATTGTACTGCGTCCATAGCGAGAACGCTTTAGGCGACACGCAACAGAACGCGAGCTCCTTGCGTAGAGTTCGACGTGAGACGGCAAGTCTCATTCGAAGAAATATGATTAAGCAAACGATACTATACATTTGTCACGTATTGTTTTAGCAACAGCTCATAGATGGCCCGCTCACCTATGCTTCATAATGTAGGTGAATAAACTACACGGATACGCTCCAAATTACCTTTTGAAGCGCTGGAAACCCCCACGCTATCTATGGCAATCCGCCGAATAAATAAAAACTGCACGGATCTGACCAACAGAGAGATAGCAGACTGCTAGATAACTTTACTCTCGTCATCTAGTGGACCCCTGAGTATAGGTATACTATCATATTGAGCTATTCTGATTTAAACTTTGCACCGGACGAGTATCTTCGCTGCTTAAATATTACCCTAAAGTTTATAGCAGCAATCGTAATCAAGTGATCTGCTGCTTTATACAATTGGTAGATGCGGTTTCTGCTCGCCAACAGTCAATCAAATTGATCATGGCTATAAACGTCTGGGCAATTATCTGGAAACCCAATACAAGCACGATATGTTTGTATAGTAAGACTATGTACTTACTTTTGATCAGAGTGAGTGCGGCAACATTCGTGTTCATGATCTCCAGCGACCTGTGCATGGCATTCCCCGTACCTGAGTAAAGCATCGTGTAGGTACAGCATTCAGATACATCATGGCGCGTGATGTTGGCGAAGTATGTCGGGGTTACGGGATTACACAAACCCGAGCACGACCTTATACGAGTCTGTAGAGATCTGAAACGAACTCCCAGTGTACTTCACCTGCAGGACAATCTTCTTCTTGCGAAACCGACCAGTGACTATGTAAATGCAAACGAGTGCGACACAAGAATAAATGTACATGAACGCATTTTACAAACACATAGGCAAAGATTATCACGCGTACAAGTTCCAAACGGAGTCCCGAGTTACGCCTCAGCTATGATCTGATCTTTCAATACATGACCACTTAATACACACATACACACGAGCTAAACACGAACACATTAATTAAATTATGCACGTATACCCACATACCTCCAGGGACGATTCCAATAGGCATTTTCCTGGCCTCAGCCCAGTCTTTCCTCTTGAGTAACCCGTTCACAACTTCATGTACCAGCCCATCTCCACTCACGCAAACAACACCATCGTACAGGGACAGGTCCATAGTGTGCACTTTCTCATATGCATGAAGAGCCTTTTCCGTGACTGCGGCGGAAGATCCAAGTTGGAGTCGAACGAGTTAGTTCTAAAGCATGTATGAGTCCATTATTGCCCAAGCCAGTAGAGAAGAAGTTCTATATCTATGTCTAAATCTAAATCTAAATCTACATCTATATATATATATGTACAAATATATATATATAATAAAAATGAAATA